CACCTCAAATTCATATGTTGAAGCCCCAACCCACAATGCGACTATATTGAAGATAGGGCTTTAGGAGGTAATTAAAGTTAAATGAGGTCATGAGAGTGAGGTCCTAATCTGATAGGATTGAGGGCCTTATAAGAAGAGGATGATCTCTCTCTCTCTCTCTCTCTCTCTCTCTCTATCTATCTATCTATCTATCTCTTTCTCTGCACAAGCACTGAGGAAAGACCACGTGAGCACGCACCAAAAAAGTGGCCATTGGCAAGCCAGGAAGAGAGCTTTCCCCAGGACCTGACCATGCTGGCAGCCTGATCTTAGACTGCCAGCCTCAGAGATATGAGAAAATAAATTTCTGTTGTTTAAGCCACCGAGTGTATGGTGTTTTGTTATGGCAGCCTGAGCAAAGACATGTAGATGTGAGGATGACCTAATCATAGTGTCCATTTGAATAAAACAAGTCACTCTCATGGTACTAAGTTTGGAATCAGCAATAAAAACATTCTTCTGGATTTAGATTTTTGTACAATGAAGTGGCAACTATCTTGTTTGCTCAGTTTTAGAATCTGCATAAACATAATGAGCTCTAAAAGGCATTTAAAACTTACTTTAAAACCAAAGTTGGCAAATGACTGTCATACTACTCATGAGACTTATGAATTCTCTCAGTGACAGGGTGAACACACCCATTCCTCCCAGAGTTTGAGCTTTTTTCTGAGACTAAAATAGAATTAGGGAAGGCCAAGAACTTTATGTTATTTTTTTTTAAAGATTTTATTGGGGAATTGGGGGAGGGGAACAGCAGTGTTGGGGAATTGGGGAAGGGGAACAGCCAAGTTGTTGTCCTTCAATCTTAGTTGTGGAGGGTGCAGCTAGCTCAGCTTCCAAGTCCAGTTGCCATCCAGCCACCTGTCGGCATCTCAGGGCAGCTCAGCTCAAGGTGCTGTGTTCAATCTTAGTGGAGGGTGGGCGTAGCCCACCATCCCATGTGGGAGTCAGACTGGCAACCTTGTTGTTAGGAGCACGTGCTCTCACCAGCTGAGCCATCCTGCCACCTGATGGCAGCTCAGAGGCAGCTCAGCTCGGGTGCAGCTCACTGGCCCATGTGGGAATCGAACTGGCGACCCTGTTGCTCAGAGCTTGCACTATTAACCAACTGAGCCAGTGAGCTGGCCCCATTTTATGCCATTTTGATTGCTGTTCTTTGGGGGTTAATTGCCCTTGACTCTGTTTTTTACACAGTCCAGTTTTCTCCTTAAGAACAAGGTAAGAAGGCAGGGCCAGTCCTGTGTCATCTGGGTGATGCGGGGTGCTATGCGTGCTTGGTCTATGGGCTGTGCCACTTCTTTATTAGAGAATTGGCTGCCATTTCTGTTACCTTCTGGGGAGACGATGCTGGCATGGGGTCCATTCTATAACCCAGTGTACCATACCAAAGGCAAGGAATAAACATCTCTTCCAAAATCACCTAGGAGAAGCAATTCAGAGGGAAGGGCAAAATATCTTCTGGAGCTGAGCTATGATCCAGTGAATGGAGGACTTGGCTAATGACCAATCATCATGGGACATTGGGACCCCTGACCTTGAGCTAGACACCATGGAAGGACACTAGAGAAAGAGGAAGCCTGGGTCCTTCCTTAAGGAGCTCATGCTCTCCTTGAAGAAATAAGACCCACATGTAGGAAGCCGAGACAAGCCCAAGTAGAAGGTCATTTGGGGCTGACTTCTGTTGGGTGATTTTTGAGAAGGGAAAGCAGTGATCTGGGGTTCAGTGATGCCCTGGGCTTATGGCATGGGTTCGGAAAGGCATTCTGGAGGAGATGGCCTTGTTTGGTCCTCAAAGGGGGAGTGAAATCTGACAGACCCAAGACAGGTTCCAATGGTTGCCTCATCTGTTTGCTCGCTCAGCAAATACTTTTTGAGTGCCTACTGCATGCCCGGCCTGGGCTGTGTACCATGGAAAGGAGAAAGCAAGTAGCCATGGCTGCATGGGGGGACTTATTTCCCTAGGCCTGTTAGACTCTGAAGACCAAAGGAACCGGAGCCAGATGAATTCCTTATTCTGAGAGGAAGCCAAGTGCCCCGCAGGCAGTGAGTGCTGCTGTTGTTGCAGCTTTGTTTTGTGACAACTGCTAATTGCCTCTGCATCTCCTTTGACTTCAGTTCCCACCTTTCCCTGCCAGTGGCCCCACATGGGAGTGGGATCTCTGGGGTGGACCTCAGAAGGCACCCGCTGTCTGCAGGAAAACTCTAGTGGCTGTGACCCTGCCCTCTGGCCTCTGCTGGTGTGCAAGCATGTGGAGTCCAGGGCTACCTCACATCTGCAGTGGAGCTTGGGGAAAGCTCTCATGCCTCAGAGCAGGAAATAGTCCAGAGAAATCTGCCAACTAGGGGCTCTGAGTAGGACTGCCTGCCAGGTGCTGAAGCTGCATGAACTGAGCTGGCATCTGGTGGTCATGGTGGTGCTGGTGCTGGGGAACCAGACCTGTAGCTAAGTCCATAAAAGAGTTTAAACAGGCAGGGTAACCAGGCCTGGGAACATGGTGGCAGAGCCAGTAACAACAACCATAGNGCCTGAAGCTCTTGGATTTTTGTGAGGCAAGGCTTCTAGCGCTGGTTCTCTTGTCTGCAGGAGCAGCTCAGAGGACGGAAAGCGAGTGGGTGGGAGCCCAGGGCGGGTGTGATTATTCCCTAAACTGAGCCCAAAGCCTGGAT